TCCAAAGGGAGCTGATTCTTCGACTTGGCCTATTTAGATGAATCCCAATATCCTCACCCCAAGTGTGCTGTCCAGCACAGCCTTGACGGGGCCACTGGTGCGGGTGGCTTTGGAATCCTATACTCAATACAGGGTGACACTTAAATTTAATGTCGTCTGCTATCCCAACAGAAACATCCAGAAATCAACCCAGCCGTTTATCCAAGAATTTGGGTAAGGTCCTTGCTGTTTTAAATACCTAGCCCATCATCAATCAGGCTCCACAAAATGGGCCAGAGAACATCAGCATAAAAGGGTGTGGATGGGGAAAGTATGGGGAAAGCCATACTCGGCTCCTCATCCCACCGTTGGGGTCATGATGGTTGGAACCTTCTCCTCCCAGGAGTCCTTTCTTGGAGTGGAGAAGACAGTTAAATCATGTATCCAGGGCCTGCGTGAGCAGACTGCCATCCTTTTTCAATATGTGAAGGGGCTGGATGACCATCTGTTCTTCCTCCTTTCTGCATTGATCTACCCAGTCCTTTCACCACTTACCTTCCCCACCAGGAAGGCATCATTTCCAGTTGTATCGTATTGCTCCCCATCTGCTGGTCATCTGGCTGCCGCCTATACCTGTCACAGTCTCTCTCTCTCTCTCTCTCTCTCTCTCTCTCTCTCTCTCTCTCTCTTACTTTTTCTCAGTTAATGTACTAACTGTAAAGAATTTGCTTCTTTAGGTGGGCCTGCAACCCTATTTAGATTTTAGGCCTAAACTGCTTAAAGGCCACACCTTATTGTCCTGACTGCAGATGCTCATCGTCTTTGCTGGGACCTCTGCACCATCTCTGGGTCACTGCTAGTGAATACTGATGCCATGATAGGGCCAGAAGTTGTGTAAGACTTAAAAATAAAATTCCCCCACGAAGTGCTAGAGATGAAACCCACAGTCTTGCTATGCTATGTGTGTGTGCTACAACATTCCCAGACCTAAAATATCAAATTCATGACACCAACTTTTGTTATTATTTGTCCATTTTTCCTACAACCCTAAAAAAAAAAAAACTGAGTTTCTGTGTGATTGAAATCAGAGAGGTTTTTATTAACTTAGAAAATACACACATTTACCCTTTAAGCTTCTTTTTCTCTTTGTTTTGTTTTGTTTTGTTTTTTTTGCAGAACCAGGGATTGAACTCAGGCCCTTGCACTTCTCAGGGAAGCGCTTATTCTACTGAGCCATCTCCCCAGCCCCCTTTTTCTCTTTGAAATTCGCAAAGGGACACAAAGAAATCTGAGACCTAAGGACATAGGGCAGAAACAAAACTTCATTGGAAAATGGTCTTTTGTCAGAATCCTGTCAGTGGAAGAGGCTGGGATTGGGCTGTTCTAGAATTATGAAAGTTGTTCTCCCTCTTTCTCTCCAGCTGTACACCTGGGGCTTCAGGTGGCCACGGCCTGAAAACCCACCCTGCAAATGGAACCGTTGGAGGGTGCTGGAGGGGAGCTCAGCATCTTTATTTGGGAAGAGTTAAATATACAAGCCAGGAATCTACCCCTAGAAAGTCTGGAAAGGGACAAGGACCACTGCCCTACCCCAAAGATTCCCTCAGCTGTGGCGAAGTCTCTACCTCCTCACCCCTTCTTCCACAGCATCTTTGTAACCAGGCGCCTGCAGGTGGGTCAGCTCATATGGCTGCTACCTGTGCCTGAGATGCAGCGCTTCAGTCCTCTGAACCCCTCACTCACTGCCACTGCCTGCAGATTCTTGTGTGCTAAGCACCTTACAGGCTGGTCATTGATTTTTTTTCCCTCTCCAATACTTTTGATCAATGCTTCAAAAAATAAGCCAGATTAGTTGTAAAATTAAAAGAACAGAGTTTTTCACACACCATTAATTACTAATCTCTACTGACTAATCAAATATCTAGTGTATCTACACGTAAGTGGCAGAAAAGCATTTTTTAAACACTTTGGTTTTACTCTTCTGTATTTTAATACTTTCTCAATATTCAATTTTTTGAAAGGTTTAGAGCTCATTATAACAAACCATTAAATCAGGCAATGCTTTTCAAAGTCTTCTGGCCTGGGGGCTGGTGAGATGGCTCAGTGGTCTAAAGCACCTACTTGGAACAAGCTTAGCGAAGCGCAGGGACCACGGTTCAATCCCCCAGCACCACATGCCAGCCAGCCCGCCCCCTGGTGGGCTGAGCTGCCCCCCCACACACACATATAAATAAATAAAAAAAATAAAAAAAAAAAGTCTTCTGGCCTGTAAATTTTCTTTCTTTAAGCAATATTTGGCCCCAGAAAGAACCAGAAAAACTGGAGAACTTGGGACTTAAATCAGGCCAACACTAGGCACTGGCTCTAGTCATTCCTTTAAATATTTGTGTGTTCCATGTGCTGTCTTTGGCTAACCAACTGGATCACTTCTTGTTGTTGAAATGCTATCTAGTCTAAAGTTCATTGTTTTAAAGAACTTTGAGTATGAATGTTGCTTTGACCTGGCCAGTGTGTATGCTTTTCACAGTAATTCAAAACAGAGCAAAACTCTAGGGATTACTTCAATACAATGTATTCTTCCGGATATTTCTTGAAGTTGAAGAACTTTCTTGACCCTTACCCAGCAAAATATAGCCTTTCTGGATTGGGTTGCAGGGCCATTGCTAAGAAAAGGAAGCAAAGTACTCAGGAGATTCCAAGCTCCACACTTGGGTACAGAAATGAAAACAAGGCCTCTGCTTTGAAGAACCCTCAAAATTTATTGTGAGAGGTAAATGGATAATTAAGTAACTGATAATAATAGAGTTGTACTTAACGTATATAACAGTAAGAGAATGTGAAAAGTTCTATGGGAGTACAGAGGGAGGAATTCTTTCTTTTCTTTCTTTCTTTTTTTGGCAGAACCGGGGATTGAACTCAGGCCCTTGCGCTTGCCAGGCAAGCGCTTATTCTACTGAGTCATCTCCCTGGCCTGAGGGATTCATTCTTGAGGGGTAGAAGAATGATGAGGATTGAAGAAGACTCAGTAGAGGCTATGAGTTTTGAAATGGGTTTTGAAGGAAAAAGAGTTTACAAAGTAGAGATGCATGGAGAGAACATTCTAGGGAGCAAGACAAGGTTAAAAAAATAAATTATGGAATAAAGACAGGTATGAGAGTACTAAATAGTGCAGTGTTGTTACAGTGTAGGGATCAGGGCCGGCCAAATAGCTCATCGGATTAAAGCACCTGCAAGTAGGCACAGGGGATGGCAGTTTGATCCCTGGGCCTGCCATGCTGGCCCTACCCCCCAGGGAGTGCTGAGACAGCGAATGAGATTGTGTGTAGTGGTACACGCCTGTAATCCCAGCTCTTGGGAGGCTGTAAACAGGCAGATCACTATGAATCCAATCTAGTAGTGAGACCCTGAACACCCTGTAAACTCTTTCCCCCTCCCCCAAAAAAAGTGTACTTCAGGAGACAGGATGGGAGCTGGAGAGGCAGTTGGGGGCCAGAACTCAGAAGGCCTTGGATGCCAGTCTGGGACTAGATTTGCTCCCGTTGGTCATATACCCACAGAAGGCTTTCAAGCTAATGTTGGACAGACTTATCCCTTGGCCCCCTGTCTTTGGAATGGACAATTTGCTCTTCTGCTAGGGCCACTGTTTTGTCCTTGGTGCTCCCATCCCCTTTGCTCTACACACATCCAGATATATGCCTCAAGTTTCAAGATTCTGAATTTAGGGTTTGGAGACAGTGAGTTTTTTCAGAAGGGATTTTATATTCTTCTGGCACTACACACTACAGACAAATGGCACGGATACTCTGGCTTGAGCCAGTTGGGGGCACATATTCTCTAAAGGGTTCGGGTAATCAGTACTTTGAGTTCCATGCTACCACTTCAGTTTTTGCAGTCACTGATGAGTAACTGGCAGAGCTGGTTACTAATCATCCTGTTCAACCCACAGTCACCTAACTGGAGAAGAACAAGGCTGGGTCCAAACTCAGGTCTCCTGACTCCCAAGTTCTTTTGGGTGGGCTCCAGCTGGCTCTGCCTAGCCAGTTACACAACAGAATGTACTTGGCTGACTCAAACCCACAGGGTCCTGATTGAGAGCTGGAGGTTGTGTTCCCAGAACAGAATCCTGTTGAGCCTTTAGCCGGACAGCATAATTTGACATCAGTGGTCGCGCCCTTTCTTCTGTGAAACGGGAGCAGCATCTACTTAATCTTTCAGCTAACATCTGCAGCTGAGGCAGGTTGGGGTTTGGGTTGCTATTCTGCAGTTTTCTGTGGTAACTAAGGAGTGCTGGTGCCTCGGGGAAGTTGTGGAATCTTCAAGTCTGAGCTGGAGGAGTCTTGAGGGGGTGGGTGGTGACCCGCAGCTTCCAGAGCTGGTCAGCTTGGCCTGAAGGCTCCCCAGAGCAGCAGGACTGGGTTTCCTTTAGCTCTCTGCTTCGGACGGGTTCTCGCTGAGGAAGGCTGTTCACGCAGAAGGTCTTGTGCTCTAAAAGGACTTTCTGCAGGGAAGTGGCTTTAGGCTCCCAAGCAAACCCTAACACCCACTAGCTGAGGGTGAGCGTGGTCAAAGTCACTGCAAGTAGAGAATCTTCAGCGGGGCGAACGATCACTACAGTAGCGACAGCAATCAAGCCCACCTATCCATTAATCTCTTGACATTTCATGTCAAGCTATCTTCGGGAAATAAACCAAATTATTCTGAAAGAAATCCAGAATCGTGAAAGGTACGGTGGTCATGATCTCTACTTAGATGAAGATACAGAGGCTTAAAGTGTCCACGTCTCCCAGGGACCAAGCCTTGGTCATTTTAAGCTTATCGTATTGCACAAGTGTATTTCAGTGTCTCTCGCTCCAGCCGGCTTTTCTACGGTGCTGGATCAAAGTAGACAGCGGCTCCCGACCTCGGTAAACCGCCTCCTGCGCTTCCCGGAGGGGGCGGTCTTTCCTCCGGGGGCGGGGTCTCTACGTGGGCGGGGCCTCGGCGGGGGAGGAGCGGGAGGCCGCTGGCGGCCGGCGGCCGGAAGTGACCCCGAGGCCGTGCGACCTGTGCTCCAAGTCCCGGACGCCCGTCCCGGTGCCGAGGGCAGCACAGTTTCTCGCCCGCGCCGCGCTCGCCGCCGCTGCCGCCCTGAACGATGGTGCCCCGCCTGCTGCTGCGCGCCTGGTCCCGAGCCCCTGCGCTCGGCCGGGCAGCGCCCTGTCGGCTCCTAAGCGCCGGCTCCGGACCCGGCCAGTACCTGCAGCACAGCATCGTGCCCACCATGCACTACCAGGACAGCCTGCCCAGGTGAGCCCGGCCTCCCTGTCCCGCCGCCAGCCTTCAGTCGGCCCGCGCCTAATTACTCAGGCAGAACTGGCACGGAGCTGTCTGTAACTGGAGGCAACCCCAGGCTGCAGTCTGGAAGTCCTGTGACTTTCAGAATTTACCCTCCAGGAATTCCAGCACCCCAGTTCTTTTCTAGAACAAACCCCCTGCTGTTCAGATTCTTTCCTCTTGAACCCTTCATAAATTCCCCCCTCAGATTATCTGTTTAACCTATCTTTCAGTCATGTATCCTGAATCTCTCATATTTCTTTCTCCCTGAAAAATGTTCTGCCTATCTAGCTCCAGCACCACCTTAACCACCCAACTAGAGCACCCCTCAGCGTACTTTAATGACCACCCGGATATAAGTAGCCTGTTCCTGACAGTACAGTGGTTACCCTTCTAATACTTCATCTTGTTCTTGAATTACTGGGAACCCTCTGCCCCCTCCTTATTCCAGTGTCCCCTGCTCTTGGTAACATGTCACTCCCCACAGGCACACCCCTCAAATTCACCATGGCCCTCAGTTTGCCCCCATCCCCATTTCCACTGTAACTTTTAATTCCAGTCTTCTTCTAGTTTCACCAGTCTCTGATCCCCCAGCCTCTGATTTGCCAAGTTGCATCCTTTAATATTAGAAATTTCCTTCGCTGTTTAAAAATCAAACCTGAACTGTGTTCTCATTCACCATTTAGTTCCAGAGACCAAACTCCAAATTTGTCTCAAAAACCCCCTTTCACATTTTTTCTTACCAAATTGTCATCAGGATACCCCCGTCTAGGGGCTGGAAGCCCCGTGCTCCCTCCACAGGAAAAGAACACCATTAAGCATTGCCTCAACAGCTGGGTTGTGTTTTTTCTCTGTATCCCAGAGTTATTTAAGCCTGTGTCATCATTGCTTGCCCCCCAGCAACAACATACATAGGGGATTCCTGAGAAATTACACTATGCAAACATCTAAGACAAACTCAATAATGACATCATCTGAGCTTGGAAGGGGCACAGGGAGAAAAAGTTGGTCTGTGGGATTAGCCCCAGGATTATCCTGGGGCCTGCTTTCCTGACAGCCAGTGTGTCTGAGTTGCGTCACTATGTAGGGGAAAGGTGACTCTGGGCTTGCAGGCCCTCTCTCCACTTGCCAAGCCCAGAATCATGGTCTCTGAGTTTGAAGCAGGCCCACCCAGGGTTCCACCCAGGTTTAAGAGCAGAGGGATGTTCAGGATTTTAGAATTGTAAACTGGAAAGAACATTCAAGATTGTTTAGACCAGCCCCATCCATGGGACAAAGCTCTGTAGGAATATGTAAGTATGAACTGTACCACTCATCACCCTGTAAGCAGCCATTAACTCATCAATAAAGCTGGAGTAAGATGAAAGATGAAATTTTTTTCTGCCTCAGAGATTATTATCTTTGACATTCACATTGATGTCACACTTTGCTGAAAAGCCCCCGACTTTGAAGACTGGCAGAACTGAGTTTTAGATTCTATATCTGCAAATCATTAGCTATAATTTGGAGCAATTTAGCTAACTTCGTGGAGCCACTGGACACCTGTCCTCTCAGAATGGCAACACTGATAAAAGATGCCTGAGTTAAATACCCTGTAATTAGTCACGCTGCCAGGGAACCTTGGACTCCTTCCACTAGGAACCCTTGCACTTTCACTTGCTTCATATTCTCTCTCTCTCTCTCTCTCTCTCTCTCTCTCTCTCTCTCTCTCTCTCTGCTCTGCTCTTTGGTGAGTGTGGTAAAATATATTTAACAAAATTGACCATTTTAAGCATTGTTAGCAATAGGCTTTAGCTAGATGTCACTTTTAAAGGGTCTGTTATATAACTTTGACTATAACACTGCAAGTCCTGAGAAAAGTGTGGATCATCCTGAGCTCATTCACTCACTCATTACTAATTAGATAAGCACTGATCAATCATGATGAGCCACCTACATGACAGTAAAGAAGATGTGAACAGAGTTATAACTGGATAACTAGAAAGCATCATCTTATAATTCTTTTTTTTTTTTTTTTTTTTTGCTCCGAATGCCTTCAGGGCAGGTTTAGCTGGCTTGAGTTGTGGGGATTCAACCACAGCAACCTGAGCCTGTCTGCTTTGTTGAAGCAGTCACTTAAAGAACTGAGCTAAGGGGCAGGCCCCCTCATCTTGTAATTCTTACCATCATGAGGACTCAGGCCTTAGTGCATATGTGTGTTGCTGGGAACTGAGTCTCAAATCTGACTTTTAATTCTACTTCTTCCTCAACGCATGGCCATAAAGCAGTCATCTTACCTAAAAAGGAATGACAATACTACCTTCATTTTTGAGTACTAAGAATTAAATACTTGATACAAGGCATTTAGTGCTGAGTCTGGCACATAGTACTCAGTAGACATTCACAGTACTATAACGGTTGTAGGCCAGTGTCTGAATGAGCAACAGAGAGCCATTGCTATGTGAGTGTGAGGAAACCTTTAAGAAAAATAAGGGAAGGACAGAGGAGGACCTACCAAGAGCAGACGCCCGAAATATGTGATGTGATCAGGAATTCTGAGGTTTCTGTTAGGGACAGCCTAAGGAATTACCATTTAGCCCTTAAATTATTGAAATAGGCTTCAAGTGGGGACAATGGGGCAGAAGGGCCCACTGCTGGGAATAACAGATGTGGAAACAGTCATGTTTTAGGCTTCAAAGACAGATCTTTTAGTCCAGTCATCCTGGCTTCCAGAATAATTTCATTCTCCAGCAACTCTGTACAGTGCCTATAACTCAGTGACTCAATATTTATAGCTCAATCTTGTAAACATAAAAAAAGGCTTCTTAGCTGTGTTCTTGCAGGAAGAATGCTGAGGTGCCTACCACTCAGAGGCAGGCTGCTTTGCTAGCAGGTGACTAAGAGTAACTCACACAGGAGATGAACCTGTCTGTCATGTACTTTTCTCCCATCTGTATTGTGGGAGAAAAATTTTTAGATGGGTCCTGGAACTGCTATGAAAATCTCTCAGAACCCTGCCTCTGCCTCAGGCAGCTTAGGAACTGCGGTGAGCGCGGGAGGCCACTTCTGCCTTTCTGAGGAATGTGAAGGAAGCAGGCAAGCGCAGACACTCAAGTTGCTCTCACAGCTTCAGTTTTCAAGAGAATAAGTATTGACTGGAAGAATGACTCATGGACACTTATTGAAATGGAAATTGTTCCACTGAGGGCTTTTGTGGTAGTATATTGTCAAAATTTCACTTCAAACTGGCTTAAGCAAATAGGGGTATAGCAGCTCATAGGCCTGAACACTGTTAGACCAAGGAGGTTCAAATGATGTCAGGACCTTGTTTTGTCTTCCTGCTGAACTCATCTGTGTACCTTCAGTCTCAAACAGGCTTTCTCCTCATGGTGACAAAGTGGCAGCCAGCACATAATTTGCAGCCTGATCTTCCAGTGCTAACGCTAATAGAGGATCTCCCCCTCCCCCACCAAGTTACAATAATGGCCTGTAACTAAGTCTTACTGGCCTGAACTAGTCAGCTGTAAGCCCACTCCCAGAAGTTTGAGGTAAAGTCAGTTTTTCTTGAACCAGGGACTGAGCAGGAAAGCATGGTGCTGTTGCCAAAAAGGAATGGACACAGGGCAGATCCACAGTGGAAGTAGGGAATGCTGTGCTAGGCACCAAGGGGAGAAGGTAAGTTTGTTTTCCAAGGAAGTGAATAGGCCAAGTGTGGGTCCACAGGACTTGAGCAGTCCAGTAACTGAGGGTTTCTTGTGTCCCAGGTACTGTCCTGGGACAATGACATGCATCACCACTTAAGCTGTACAGACCTTCAAGGTACCTTTGCGTTTTACCCCCATTTTGTAGGCGAGGCAGCTTAGGTGCAGGGTGGTATGAGCCCACAGCTACACATCTGTGAGTGTTGAGGCCAGAGTCTGCTGTGAACCACTGGGCAGTGCTGCTATCAGGGACGAACACCCAGGCTTCCAGGGGTTCTGGGGCCAGCAGAACACGTGGTACTGGGGACTGAACTCAGGTCTTTGCACTTGCCAGGCAGTCACTTCGACTGCTGAGCTATCTCCCTAGCCCCCCCCCTTTTTAATAAGTCATGTAGTGTATGCTGTGTGTTCAAAGCTTCCTATGTATTAGGTACCTTGATGAGTTCTCTGTGTATATTATTTGATCCTCAGAAGCTGAGGAGCTATCATTTAATAAATAAAGAAGGGTCAGAAAGATAAAATTTTGCCAAGATCACATGGATCTAAGACTCAGTCTGTGATGCAAAGAGTGGTAAGCTTTACCTCTCCAGCATACTGGAAATGTTAGTGATAGACATGTGCTGGGTGAGCTTGGAACTCAATGCGTGCATTTCAGATCTCTCTAGTCAGTTTTCTCTACCTCGTGGTCCAAAAGTGGAGTCTGACCACTGGGGTCCAAGCTTGGGCTAAATCTCATTCTGTTTCTTCTGTGTTAGTCAGTAGTTTTTATACTTTTAGATTTCACAGATCATTACAATTTCAGGAGAGAAACACTGACCTATCAAGATTTTCTAAAAAGGAATGACTTTTAATGACCTTAATTAAGAATAGACTTTTAAATGAAACAAATTTAGCTCTGGAACAAGTATCATGCTGTCCATATTTTTTCATTCACAGTCAGTGACTCCATCACCGTGGCCATTGTCTGCCCAGTTGCAGGTATTCCAGGGATGAGACTTGTATGGCTAGGTGGCATTCACATTGAGGACACTTAATGGAAGGCAATAAATAAGACCTGGGAAGGCTAGCATGTTCATTAAGCTATGCTTACTGTTATCTTACAGAAAGCAGATGATTTTTGTATCCACAGTAACAATTTTTGTGTATACGTTATGCTGCCTGAATTTATTTGTAGAAAGTTTAGTTTCTATTGTACTAATAAAAATAATTTAGCACTCTAGGACTTGCTTTACCCCACTAAAGGAAGATTAGGCTAGAATTAATATGATGGCAGATTTTAATACAAACTCTTTTATCAAACTGTCAGTTGTCTGTAATTTAGAATTTTCTTTTAAAAAGTAAAACTTTGTTAATATTTCTAGTGTCAGAACCAAGTCCTAAGATGCCAGGGATGTAGCTCAGCGGCACAGGTGTCTGTCTGGCAAGCACAAAATTCTGAGTCCAATTCCTGGTACCCCTCCCCCCAAAAGACCCCCCATGAAGTCCCCAGAAATGTAAGAAAGCAGCTTTGTTATTAGGAACTAACTGAGGTAGTGTTTGTGAGTCAGTGATTGTAAGTCATTGGTAAAGTGTTGTAAAGGGTTATTTAGGGTAAGTCCATAATGGCTGTAAATAATTTTTAAAACATTTTTTATTCTTTCAATACAGGTTCTCCCTACACAGCTCAAACTCCTACTGATCCTCCTGTCTCAGTCTCCCCAGCACTGGGATTACAGGTGTGTGCCACCACACCTAGTTTCAGGGCTGCATGACGTGATAATGGGGATAGAACCTGGGACCTTGTGCTTGCCAGGCAGGTGCTCATGCTGCTGAGCTATTTCCCCAAACCATGTATATTTTTTTGACACCGTCTCACTATGTAGTTCAGCTGGCCTTGAATTCACTATGGTTCCCAATATGGCCTCAAATTTACAGTGCTCTTTCTGCCTCAGTGCTAGGATTCCAGGCTTGTACCACCATACCCATTTTAACAACTGTAAATCATTTGGATTTATTTTTATTATCATATTTTGGGTATTCATTGGAAAATACACAGAAGAACCACAATATGGCATAGACTGATTTTTTAAACTATGCTTTGTAGATTATATTTCAGTGTTCCTCAGTGTCAAATACATTTAAATTCTATACATAAATATCAGTGTTAATTTTGAATTGCCAAGCCTCTATTGTTTTGATACTGGGGATGTATCTGTCAATGAAACTATTGAAATGAAAGAGAAAATACATCTTGTACACTGTGTTTTCATTTCTCCACCGACCAGTAATTTCCCCGTGACAGCCATCCTCAGAAGCCACTGGTAGAGAATGATGAGTCAGCAGGCACCCTGCTGCCCTGATTTGTAAGCACATGGAAATACCTGGTGTTTCCTAGTAGGATTTCCGGTGAGTGGGCGTGGTGCGGTGATCAGGGCTTTGGTTTAGTGAATCTAGGCCACGTATTGGGCTGGCTTTAGAACAGGTCTTGTATGTTTCTCTCTGCTTTCCCATTTAGGATCTATTATTATTAAAAGTAATTATATTTTTATTTATAAAGGGGCCTAGGGCCATGGAGATAGTTCAGCAGTCTAAGCTCCTGCCTAGACAAGCACAAGGACCCAGGTTCAATCCCCAGTACATGTTCTGGCCCCTCCCTGGGTGTGGTGTGCTGACCACCAAGACCAGGCATGGTAGCACATACCTGCCAGTGCTGGGAAGGCTGAAACAGGAGGATCACTATATGTACAAACTGCATAGTGAGACCCTGTACCAAATACATTATAAATAAACAAACGAATGAACAAGGGCCTGGATTCAATCCCCAGTATCGCATGCCTTGCTGGCTTCACAACCCCGGGGCGTGCTGTGCTGACCACTGAAACTGGGTATAGTGGTGCACGGCTATAATTCCAGCAGTGCTGGGGAGGCTGAGACAGGATCACTATGAGTCTGAGCTGCGTTGCAAGACCCTGTACCAAATAAATAAATGATTGAAAAAAACATTTAAAAAGGGGGAGGATTTATGCAACCTGAAGAGAAACTAGAGTATGATTTTTATTTTATTTAAAAGTGGAGTTACACACTGGGCGTGGTGGTGCATGCCTCTAATCCCAGCACTCAGGAGACTGAGGCAGGAGGATTGTTGCAAGTTTGAGACCAGCCTGGGCTACAAAGTGAGCTCAAGGCCAGCCTAAACTGCATAACAAGACCTAGTCTCAAAAAACAAACAACAACAACAAAAAATTAGAGTTACCATTGGTACATTAGTACATTCATCTATTCTGGGAAGAACGTGTTTGTGTATGTATGTGTGTGCTCAGGTGTGCATACATGTATGTGCATATCCACATCTGTGCATGTGTATGTGTGATGTTCGGGGTCAAACCCAGGTCCTACTTCATGTTCAACAAGTGCTCTATCACTGGGCTACAAGCCCCTATCCATCAATTTGGATTGTGAACAATTCCCATTGTTTTTTTTTAGTAGGTAAATTAATTACACAGTAATCCATTTACTAGCCTGAAACTAATTACCTTCTCACATTTTTTGTCACCCTGACACTGACTTTTCTGTCTCCTCAGGCTGCCTATTCCCAAACTTGAAGACACCATTCGGAGGTACCTTAGCGCGCAGAAGCCTCTCCTGAATGATGAGCAATTCAGGTGAACACTGAGACCCCCAAGGGCTGTGGTTGTGGTGGTTGGAGAGAGGCTGGCAAATAGTGGTGGGTGGACCATGCTTCAGACAATGTCTGTGACTTAACTAGGTCTTCCAAACCTAGAGCCCAGCTTCTGTAATTTCAGGTTGAGGAAATAGGTTTTCATTCATGAAGGTCTGCGCAAGCCCTGGGGTGAGAGTCCCAGCCTGACTCACTCAGAGCTAGTTTAGAAGCCAGAATGCCAGGCTTATGCTTGACATTGGCAGGTGCAGCTGGGCCCGCAGCTGGTACTAGTCATCAGCAAGAGGCCAGGTGTTCTTGGTAGGCAAGCCATGGTTAGATAGTGGCCTCCCAAATTCTTGCCCTTTCAGAAGCTCATAATGTGACCTCTTTTAGAAATAGGGTTACTGCAAATGCAGCAAGTTAGGGTGAGGATCGACTGGAGTAAGGAAGATCCTTAATCCAGGATGACTGGTGTATGTGTGTACGCAGGTGTGCACACACCTGAAGCACAGAGAAGAGACATAGAGCCAGCATGTGAGGACTGGAGTGTCGCATCCATAAGCCAGGGACAACTGCTGGCAACAGCAGACTGAGAAAGATCATGGAACAGACTACCCCCTGCTGTTGTCAGAGAGAATGGGGTCCTGCAGTTGCCTTGGTGTTGTATTTCTGTCCTTGGGAGCTGAGAGAGAATAAATCTCCCATGTTTTAAGCCTCTCCCAGGATGTGATGCTTATGGCAGCTCTAGGAAACTAATAATGGAATCTAAAAATAATACTGGATATAAAAGAAAAAAAAAAAAAAACCCTGCCCCAGTAATAATATTGGATGTGGTCAAAAAGGGGATTGCATTAAGCTCTTAGAGTTAATAATGAGATTTTTTTTTTTTTTTTTTTTTTTTCCTGGCACAGATAACTGGCAGTGTATTAGAATCACAGAGTTCTTTACTGGACAGTGACAGGGATGACCTGTTCATATCTAGGCTTCTGCTTTTAAATTTTCCTTGTGGAATATTTTAAATACCCACTTGAAGTTTCTCCTAGAATGGCAGTGAATTAATGCTACCAGTTACTAAGTGTTATGTTTTAGATTGTCACATATTCTCAGTGTTATATTTTTTAATCATATAGATGGTGTTATCTCAGCAAGACTAAGTAACTTGTCCAGTGTCACATAATTTGGAAGTGACATATTTTTCATTCCAAACCACATATCCTATTCTCAGTGCCAAACTGCTTCCTGGAGTACAGATTCTTGGGTGAGATATTTATTGATCAATCCCTATATCCTAGATCTGCTGTAGGCTGACTCCTGTGCTTCTATTCAGGGGTACTTTCTCACTTCATTCCCAGTTTCCAGGAAATGCTGATGGAACCTAAGGCTCTGAATGAGTTCCCGGCCATGAACCTAAAAATCATGTATTTCTTACCATGTTTCTGTCTTTTTTTTTTTTTTTTTTTTTTGACATTTCAGGAAAACAGAACAATTTTGTAAGAGTTTTGAAAATGGCATTGGAAAGGAACTGCATATGCAGCTTGTTGCTCAGGACAAGCAGAATAAACATACAAGCTACATTTCAGGTAGGTAGGCTGAGCTGTGGCCTTGGTTTTTTTTGCAGAGCCTTCCATGATGGAAAATAAGGTATCTTCTCTCCTGGTTGCTCTCAGAAACCTTTTTAGTTGCGTTGAAAGAACAGAACACCACCTACTGCTGAAGCCAACATTGAGGCTATGTGAGTTCCTTGCTTCACTAAGGTATTGCCTGTGTCTAGGGCAGTGGCTTGCTTTCTCTGTACACAGGATGGAGACAGAACCTAATTGATGGCTGTGTCTGAACAGGGTGCAGGATTGAGTCCCATGTCTTCAGAGTGCATTCCAGATCCTCCAGTCTGGCTTCGCTGCCCCATCGGGCTTCATCTCATGAGTTCCTCTGACAAACTTCATGCTTCAAATCTGAACTCCACAGTGTTCCTTTCTTCCTTCTGTGCCTTTATCCATATTGTCCCCACTGGGCTGGGGACATGGCTCAGCAGGCACAAGCACCTGCCTGGCAAGTACAAGGTCCTGAGTTCAATCCCTGGGACCACTAAAACCAAAACAAACAAAAAAAGCCACATATTGTTCCCACTTCTATTTTTTTTTCCCACTTCCTTTTTTATATAGGTAAATTCTTCCTTGTAGATCCATGTAGCTTCAGTTCTTTTACCTCTCTGTTCAGAACTGGTTACCCTTTTTCCTTTAGTACTTTTAATTGATTGTTATGTTTGTGCATGTTTGCAGTACATTCAGTTTATAATCACCTGAGGGAGTCGGCACACAAATAGTTCTTTTTCCTTAATCTTCTTCCCTCCTGCCTCCCTCCCTCCTCTAAATCCCCTTTCCCCATTTTTATTTTTGTTCCTATTATTAATCTCTCAAGTTTATGACATATAATGTCTACATTCACTGAAGTTATTAGGTTCCTGTGCATGGCATGGCTTTATTCTGTGTATTTCCCCTTCCTGTAAAGGGTTAACAGAATTTTGTGCCTTAACTGTGAAAAATTATAAAAACCCCTTGTGCTTCCTGTTATCTGCTCTAAAAAATGTGTTCTCCCTTCTGGCTCAAAGCTGTTCAACAATAAATAACTGTTTCTTGTCAAGGCAGCAAGCTAACACAAACTCCCTCCCCAAACAGCTCCTATAATGTAGTCAGCTTAAGATATATCTTATAAAAATATATACTTATCACTAAGCTATAAAAGACCTTTTAGTTGTAAACAGTTCACAGCTGTGTCAAATAAATGTAGTTTCTGTTGTTCTGTACTAGATAATAAGTTTGCTTACCAAACTGGACTGGGTGTGATTTCTGTTATAAATACCCCCTTGCTACCTATGTTCGAGGCCGATCACCCTTCTCCTGTGAGAGAAGTGGCTGACGGACCTGAGCTCAGTAAATAAAAGGCTCTATTCAAATTTCTATCTGGCTGATCTGGTTCCTATGCAGAGTTGATCCCTAACATTTCCCATCCTCCTCTCCGCTCATTCACCTTCTCTTGGACATCTTCCCATTTGTGAAAGATCTGTCCCCTTGTTTCCTTCTGTCCATCCTTTATCATGCTTTTTGCTTGAGGCACTATGAGGTATTAAGTTTCTGTGTCTGATTGAGTTCATGCAACATTATATTTTCCAGGTGCATCTATTTTCCTACACATGTCTCAAATTTGTCTTTCTTTTTAGCTAAGTACTATTCCACTATATAGAAACCACTTTTTCCTTATCTGTTCATGGGTATGCAGGCTGCTTTCAGGATTTAACTATTATGAATTGTGCTGCTATAGTATGATGTCTTAGATAGCTATTTCACATGGAATTTCTAGCTTCATTCTTTGGGGAATTTCCATAGTGGTTCTAGAGTAATAGATCACATTCCTACCACCAAAGTCAGAGGGTTCCTTTCTCACCACAATGACAGCATTATTTATTTCTTGATTTCTTGATGATTGCTAGGCTTTCTGGTATAGTTTACATTTTCATCAAGGTTATACATACACATCACTGCAATCAAATGGTTCTATAACTTTTATTTAAAAAGAGAACAGTTTTACCCAGAAAGTACTCAGTTACATCTCTACCCTTTTTATTTTGAGATAGTGTCTCACTGTATTGGCCAGGGTGGCCTCAAACTTGTGATCCTCATATTGTAGTTACCTCCCAAGATGGTTTTTAGTTATAGAGTCTATCCATGTTCCCTCACCCCAGCAGGAACTTTTCTTGCAGATACATTTCCCAGTAAAAAAATCACTTCTAGAAGTTTTACAGCCAAGACATCCAGGTTGCAAAGGGCTGAATGACAGTCATGCAGTGATAGTTATTTCTAATTGTTTTCTGAGTACTTCCTAAAAGCGTACAGATGTATCCAGGACTCAGAAGGATACTGTCACCTACCTGCCCTTAAGGAGATAATCAAAGGTGTATAGTGCCCCTGGAAGGAGATGAAGCAAGAAAAATCTACAGAGATAGAATGCAAATTTAACTATTCAGTTCCAACATTCAATGTTGCTGTATTTTATTTCCTTAAGAACCAAGGAGGGCTGGTGAGATGGTTCAGTGGTCTAAAGCACCTACTAAGAACAAGCTTAGCAAAGCACAGGGACTGCGGTTCAATCCCCCAGCACCACATGCCAGCCAGCCCCGCCCCCTGGTGGGCTGAGCTGGCCACACACACACACATAAATAAATAAAATTTAAAAAAAAGAAGAAGCAAGGAACTGGGGCCAGGGAGATGGCTCAGTGGAATAAGAGCTTCCCTGGCAAGTGCAAAGGTCTGAGTTCAATGCCCGGTGCAGCCAAAAAAAAAAAAAAAGAACCAAGGTACGAAATAGAATGGGAAGAACAAGCAACTGGTAGACATTAGGGAAATGTAGATCACAGGCAGTGGTACACTACTTCACACCTACTAGAATGGCTTCAGTCACCGACACACAAGCTGGGTGTGGTGGCTGCACATGGACTTTCAGCTACTGAGGACACTGAGGCATCAGGAGAGTGAGTCAGCAGTCCACCTGGGCAACACAGTGAGCTCTCTTGGCAAAAAAAAAAAAAAAGTGTTGGTGAGGATTAGAAATTGGTATCTTTACATATGGCCACTTTGGAAAATGACCGAGAAGTACCTAAAAAAGCTTAATAGAGCCAAGTATGGAGTGGCATATGCCTGTAATCCCAGAACTCTGGGAGGCTGAGGCAGGAGATTGTGAATTTGAGCCCAGGTTAGCAGCTTTGTTAGACCTTGTCTCAAAATTTAAAAATGATCAAGGTATAGCTCAGTGTGAAGGTCTTGAGTTCGATCTTCAATACTGAAAAAAAAAGCTTAACAGATACTTACCTCATAACCTAGCAATCCTACTCATATGTATTGATACATACATATAGATATACGCTTACATATATATCCACTATACAACCATCTATATTCTATCTATAGTTTTATGTATATATAACTACATATTTAACTGTTAACTATATATATATTATATATATTTGTATCTGTCCACATCCTCAAGAGAAACAAGAGCGCATATCTATACAAAAACTTGCATATGAAGGTTCGTTTTGGCAAAATAATTCATAGTAGCTAAGAAGTAGAAACTACCCAGATGAATGGATAAACAAAATGTTGTATATTCGTGCAATGGAACATTATTTGACAATAAAAAGAAATGCTACAAGCTATATCATGATAAACCTCAAAAACACTGACAGTGACAGAATTGAGATGCAGAAGACGGTCATGTATTTTATGATCCAATGTATGTGTCAGAAATTATTGCAATCAAAATATAATCACGAATCCCAACCTATGGAGGTTGATGTCATTTCTACTGCTTATGCTAGAATTTTGTTAAATTTTATTTTTAGGGGCTGTACTAACTCTTTGTTGGCTTTTTTCTCTTTTTTTTTATAGGGCCCTGGTTTGATATGTATTTAACTGCTCGAGACTCCATTGTTTTGAACTTTAATCCATTTATGGCATTCAATCCTGATCCCAAATCTGAATACAATGACCAGCTAACCCGGGCAACCAACATGGTTGTTTCTGCCCTACGGTTTCTCAAGACACTGCGAGCTGGCCTTCTGGAGCCAGAGGTGTTCCACTTGAACCCTGCCAAAAGTGACACCAATACCTTTAAGAGACTCATCCGCTTCGTGCCTTCCTCTCTGTCCTGGTATGGGGCCTACTTGGTCAACGCATATCCCCTAGATATGTCCCAGTATTTTCGGCTTTTCAATTCGACTCGTTTACCCAAACCCAGTCGGGATGAACTGTTTACTGACGACAAGGCCAGACATCTGCTGGTCCTAAGAAAAGGACATTTCTATGTCTTTGATGTTCTGGATCGAGATGGGAACATTGTGAGCCCCTCAGAAATCCAGGCTCATCTGAAGTACATTCTCACAGACAACAGCCCTGCGCCTGAGTTTCCTCTGACCTTCCTGACCAGTGAGAAACGGGACATATGGGCAGAGCTCAGGCAGAAGCTGGTGCACGGCGGCAATGAGGAGACCCTGCGCAAGGTGGACTCTGCTGTGTTCTGCCTCTGCCTAGATGACTTCCCCATTAAGGACCTTGTCCACTTGTCTCACACCATGCTGCACGGTGATGGCATGAACCGCTGGTTTGACAAATCCTTTAATCTCATTGTGGCCCAGGATGGCTCTGCTGCAGTCCACTTTGAGCATGCATGGGGTGATGGTGTGGCAGTGCTCAGGTTTTTCAACGAAGTGTTTAAAGATAGCACTCAGACCCCTGCTATCACTCCCCAAAACCAGCCAGCCACCACGAATTCTTCTGCATCTGTGCAGAAACTCAGCTTCAAGCTGAATGATGCCTTAAAGGCGGGCATCACTGCTGCTAAGGAAAAGTTTAATGCCACCATGAAAACCCTAACCATTGACTGTGTCCAGTTTCAGAGAGCAGGCAAAGAATTCTTGAAGAAGCAGAAGTTGAGCCCGGATGCAGTGGCTCAGCTGGCCTTCCAGATGGCTTTCCTGCGACAATATGGGCAGACAGTGGCTACCTACGAGTCCTGCAGCACTGCAGCCTTCAAGCATGGGCGCACTGAGACCATCCGGCCAGCCTCCATCTTCACAAAGAGATGCTCTGAGGCCTTTGTCAGGGAGCCCTCCAAGCACAGCACTGGCGAGCTCCAACAGATGGTGGCCGAGTGCTCCAAGTACCATGGCCAGCTGACCAAAGAGGCAGCAATGGGTGAGGCGGGGTGGGGAGCATGCCCTTGGGTCCTGTTGCCTTTGGTGCCTGGTCAGCCTCCATAATCTTCCACCCTGCTCCTGATTTCTGGGCTGTTACTGGGTTTATTCTCCCCCCACCTTCCAGTATGATTGCTTTCTCCTCTAGCAGTCTGAAGAGCCAAAATGGCCACGAGGGATCACAATGACCTCATGTCCTCCACAGAATTGGGGAAATGTATCTAACTTTCCTCTCATTTAAGGTCACTTTCAGCAGTTACACATGATTCATTCTCTGTCCCTGTCAATTTACTGGTTAACAGACTTTTTTTTTTTGACAGTTTGAGTTTGAAGCTACAACTTCTTTCTCCTTAGATATAGTATGTTGGCTCCCTATAGAGTATCTCAGAAGCTTTTTTCAATTTCAAGTGTCATCATTCTTCACCTCTTTGTGATAAAATTTAAGACTTAGAAAGAATGTAGTGGATTCCTTAGTCCAGTCCTTCTGTGTAGCTATAAAGTGCTGAAAGTGAAAGGAACCTCAGAGACCTAGTATTTGTACATTATTTTAAAACTATATTTTCAGCTGTCAACAGCTGAGCTAAAAACTGAACATAATATGGAGACAGGGTTCTTTTTTTGGTGGTGGTAGTGGTGGTGAGGAAATACTAGGAATTGAACTCAGGACCTCATACTTGCCAGGTTTGGCGAGCATGGAAATTAAAGGAAGTTCCTGATTAACCCAGGAAGAGGGAATGGAAGACAGTCTAAGAGCAGCTGCTCATCATTAGTTCTGGGATTCCTGTGTGGTGCTGACTCACCAGCTGCTGCATGGGCGCAGACCTATCAGTCTTCTTTTCCATTTGTAGGTGGAAAAAATGGGCCAGTGGCCCAGTGTTACACAGCAAATACAAGGCGGACGCAGTCTGGCCTTTTACATGTAGATTGGACTTCGAGTTTTATCTTAGTTTTTTGTGTGTGTACGCATGTGTGCTGGGGGTTGCTATTGACAGCTGAAAATATAGTTTTAAAATAATGTATTCTGGAATGAGCTGCTCCAAAGGTAAGTGAGCTAGAGGTATGCATGTAGATGTAGACAGACCCTTCTTCCTCTGCAGGATGCTATGAAGAGGAGTCCTACCATAACTGGGGGATTTGCCTGTGGGCCTTTCAGTTCTGAGATTCTTTTTCCATTTTTTTCTCTTGACAGGACAGGGCTTTGACCGACACTTGTTTGCCCTGCGATACCTGGCAACAGCAAAAGGGGTTGCCCTGCCTGAGCTCTACCTAGACTCTGCATATGGGCAGATAAACCACAACATCCTGTCCACCAGCACGCTGAGCAGCCCTGCAGTGAGCCTTGGGGGCTTTGCCCCTGTGGTCTCTGATGGCTTTGGCATTGGCTATGCTGTTCATGACAATTGGATAGGCTGCAATGTCTCTTCCTACCCGGGACGCAACGCCCGGGAGTTTCTGCAGTGTGTTGAGAAGTCCTTAGAAGACATGTTTGATGTCTTTGAAGGCAAATCCATCAAAACTTAGCTTGCAGGTGGGTGAACAGCTTTTGTTGCTTCCTCTTGCAAAAATGGTATTCTGCGCAACCATTAGGTGCTATTCTGTGCTTAAATTAATCATGGGTGCCTAAGCAGGCAATGCCTGAGCTGCAAGATCAGGGTTTTAAAACTAAACATGTCAGCCAGGCATGGTGGTGTATACCTGTAATCCTAACACTCAGGAGGCTGAGGCAGGAGGACTGCTTTGAGTTCAAGGTCAGCCAAGGCTACATAGTTCATGACCAGTCTGAACTACATAGTGAGACCCTGTCTCAAAAACAAAAAGTAAACATGTCATTTCTGAGTGAGACTAGATTACAACTAAAGATGAGAGATTTAAAGCCTTTTGATCAGGAGATAAGGTTTGGAAAAATAACTCAGGGTTATTTATTGTTTAAGCAGAAATAAAAGTGTTTCTTGGAAATGGTTCTTAATTTTCTCTTAAACCTAATTTCTTTCTTTTAGATGTCTATGTTTTTTAATTTTTATGCTTTACATTTTTTCTTATTATACTGGTGAGACACTCAAGAAAAACATTTCATACAAATGTCAATGATGGATGTTTTTTCTTGCTCCTAATTTTTTTTTACCAGTAAGTAGAATTTCAGCTGTAGATTTTGTGCAGTTTTTTGCATTTGCCTCTTTTTCTCTTAAACCTAATTTATTAATCCTACGAAGAACTTTGCAGTTGTATGTTCAGGTAGCAGCGAGTTCCTGCTGGGCCCCAGCTCTTAGGTGGTATGGGAAGCAGTTTCATCCTCTCTGTAAACAGCCTCTCTCCTTGGCATGATGTCTGTTTAAAAGCACTTTGTTTCCCTTAAGTAGCAAACTGCTCGGCAGCAAAGGCTCTTCCTGTGGGTGTTGGGAATGCAGTCTTACTCTTCTTTCAGCCAAATGAAGATGTAGAATGGGTAGGTACCTGGAGCAGGTGTGCTAGTTATGGCCATAGGAGGCAGACATTGGTCAGCCTTTTACAGTAGAGAACCTCTCTGTAAAATGAACACAGAACTTTATTTTCTCTTCAGTTTACTGTTAGAACACTGCAGTAAATGGGAGGACAGGTATTTTTAATTCAGTTTTTTAAAAGGAAGGGGTTTTGTGTTTAATCCTACTACATGCTTAGTGGTTTCCTGGTCACTGCTACAGGTGGGTTTGAAATTTGGTATAGGTCAGTCACAAGTCAGATTCAGCCCATTACTTCATTTAATTCTCTATAATTCTGATAGCATTGCCGGGTGTGGTGGCATATCCTGCCATCCCAGCACTTGAGAGGTTTAGGAAGGAGGACTGCTGAGTTTGAGGCCAGCCTAAACTGCATGAGACTGTCTCAAAAATCCAAAAATAATAATTCCTGTAGCACAAAGTGTTACAAAGATTGACCATGGGCGAGGCACTGGGAACACAGCTGAAATTTAGTCTGTGTTCTGTTACTGCTGAGGATGCCTACTGCTTCTCTTCTATTCCTAAGTGCCGATCCCTTAATAGGAAGTTCCTGTAGCACTAATGTATAAGACCAGTATAGCAGCAATCTTGCAGGGCTGACAGACTGTACTTACTGCTGAGATTTGGGGTGAATGTCCTGGGCTGCACACCTTGGTACATACTGGCCGGTCACAGGGCTCAGCATTCCCCTTTATGATAATAAGCCCTACCCTTCCTGCTTAACTGGGAATCACGTGATAAAGGGCTCTAGAAGGTAGCTAGGGTGGCAAAAGCACTTAACTGTTAAACCTGAGCCCAACTAGGGCTATACACAAGTCTTACTCATTGGTGCAGAACTCTACCATCTGGAATGCTCTTCTGTAGACACTGGCTAACTTGATCCTCTGAGCTCTAAGTATACTTGCAGGGTTGGGGAGGGCACTTAAGTGGCAGAACCAGGACCAGCTCTCCTGACCCCCTTGTTCAAGTGCTTTTTGTCTCTTATAATGACATCTGGCACCAGTTGGCCTCCTGGCTGAGAGTGAACTTTGTCCACTTAGTTGCTGCTGTTCCCAACCTTAAAGCAGCTTTCTTGCTTGCACAGATGGCTTTGTGTCCATGAACTCTGAGCAGGTGTGGCACATCTGCAGACACAGCCAGACCAGCCTCTCTGGAGCCTTATCTGCCCCTCCTCGAAGTGCCTCCAGGACTCCCAAACTAGGTTTATGGCTGACTTTTCTAAAAACTTCTTGCTCTTTTTTTCCCTTTTCTTTCTTCATTAATTGAATAATTGATTGAGTCAAGGTCTCACTCTGTAGCCAAGGCTGCCTTGAACTCAGTGATTGTCCTGCCTCAACCTACCAAGTGCTGGGACTACAACAGTGTGCCACCATGCGTGGCCCTTGGCTTTATTCACATACCAGATAAAGTGCTTAAGTCAGTTATTTTAGCACATAGTTATTGCAACCATCACTACAATCAGAGCACTCTCTGATTTTCTTCCCAGAAAGAAAATCCGTACCTATTAATACTCACTTTTCCTCCAGCCTAACTTCCCCCAAGCCCTAATCATTAATATTTCTGTTCCTAGATTTTTCTTATTCTGAAATTTCATATAAATAAAGTCATATGTGACTTTTTACAACTGATTTCTTTTAGTATGTTTTCAATGTTCACCCATGTTCTAGCATAGGCTATTTATACTTTGGGGTTGTTTGAATAATGCTGCGTAAATATTTGTAAATTGTATTTTTGGGGAAAGTTACTTACGATTAAAGTCCAAAGCCTTCACAGTGAGCTAACATCCTCAGTCCCACCCCCTTGGGTTGAGATAAGGTCTCACTATATAGTATAGGTTGGACTTGAAGTATGTAGCCCAGGCTGGCCTCGAACTCACAATGCTTCTCCTGCCTGAGCATCCTAGGCCCTGCCTCTATGAAAAACTGAGCTGCAATTTATGGTCTTTCTGCCTCAGCTTCCAAGAATGCTGGGATTGCAAGTGTGTGCCACACATTTTACGCAGACCTGTCTTCATCCCCTGGGTCATCTAACTCTGCTTAGTTGCTTAGGGAGCAGCCACTTTCAGCATTATACATTTCCACCAGTAGGAGATGAAACTGAGTTTCTTCATGTACTTACCAATACTTGTTAATCATCTGTTAATTTTGATCATAGACATTTTAGATTATTTTATTTTCACTGCTGTTTTCCAGCTTAAAGAGAAGCTAGCAGTAGCTGTTCGGCAGTTTTCAGCTTTTTCATTTAAAAAGAAACAGCTAGATTCCTTGGGTATCTTCAGGGATCAGGCAGGCCAGGCAGTACTTAGTACTAGATGCCAAGGAGGCCCCTGCAGGTCTGTCTGGCCGGCCACATATCCAGGGACAGACACAGGGGCCTTGGGTTGATTCCCAGTGGTTACTCAGCCATTAAGAACAGGGGTCTGCATTTCTAATCAAACCCTAGCTGGTTCCTTTCACTCCTCTTTACGGAGCCCAACACTGCCCTAAGCATGCGGTCTACATGAACTCAGCTGATCCCTGCAGCAACCAAAAGCAAATCCTGCTGTGAAACCTGGCCAGGTGATCCTGGTGTGCTGTACCCATCAGCGTTCCTCGGGAATGCTTTTAGATGGAAAATCCCGGGCCTCAATCTGAGAAAGGCTGACTTGGTGGGAATGAAGTTTACCCAGCAATTTAGTGTACACCTATGTGAATTACTGTTAATGGCTTACACTTCATCTGACCCCTTGCTCTTGAGCAGGAGCCTACGCCTGACCCAGCTCCCTTCCTCCAGTGCTTGGTGCAGTAGAGGTCCTCAGGGAAGATACGCCATACGAACACTCAGACACACAAGCAAAAAAGTATGTAGGACTGGTTCTTGGAGCTTTCCAAAGGCCAGGGATGAAAGCTGCTGCCTCTGGAGTCCCAGAGGACTAACCAATGAGAGGGCTGTGACCACAGTGCTTGACTCACTGAGCAATGGAGACAGCATTGTGCAATGACTGTCCTGGCCAGCTAGGTGGAGTCCCTTAGGCTTTCAGCCTTTTTGGGAATCAGCAGCAATTACCAGTGCACAAGGCCTGGGGCCTAGCTGTACCCAATCTTCATCTCATTGTCAGGCACAAAACCCCAAGATTTTACGCAAAGGCCTAGTTAAGAAAAACACTACCACACAAAGATGGTCCTTTAAAAAAAAATGTTATACAGGTATCATGTAAGAGCGTACTAAGGAACTTCAGGTTTTACCATCAGTGTGCTCACCAGAGTGAAGACATACATGTCCTCTCATGGTCTAACACTTGTCTGGTGTGTGGAGATCTTTGGCCCATGAGCAGCTCTTGACTACTTTCTTCACAACATTGAAGTATTGCCTGGAGACAGGAGGACACTAAGTGTAGCCACAGGGGGCAGACCAGGATTCACAGGTGAACTTCAGGGAGCACAGGGGCTGACTGGGCACAAGAATTTTCATATCAGCACTCCTGAAGGGCTAAGAGTACCCATCACAGCAAGCAAGCAGAGACCTGGCCACCACTTTCCAGAAATTATGTTGAGTAGAAGTAGGCCAAAAGCAAGTTACTGCCCTCTAAAGTCCTTTAGCCCTGGAATGTGAAGTCACACTAGCTGACAGACGCCTGGGTTTTACTTTAGAGGCAAGATGGTCAATGCAATGCTCTGGCTTAGGACTGCTCAGCTCATGGCACCAACCCCAGGCTCCCCTGATCTTTGCCACTGGCTTTGGCACTTATAATACTCTGGATCGACCTGCCCACTTTATATGAGCTGAAGGACCTTTAGGAGTATGTGCCTTCTACATGTTTGCAAAGTGGATCAGGGATGTAAGACCAAAGGAAGGTACAGAGCCCTCCAATGTAAATTCTTACTTGTGGAGGGAGGGTGGCTCTGACTCTTCCTTACGCACCACTGCGGCCAGAACTGGGGCTTTATTGGTGAAACTCAGGAACTAAGACAGAGCCCAGCATGCAGATCAAAAAGGCATCACTGCCAAGAGATGAGGGACATGGGCATCAGCCTGTGCAGGTGCTATTACTTGGGCCACTTTGTCTCTTCTCAGTTCTTAAGGGGAAGTGTGCAGCAAGAGGGTTCAGCACTTCACAAACTGGTGTGTGACCTCGAAGATTCCCACAGACTCCTGAGACTTTTCGTCATAGTCAGTCCAGTCCTATGGAATAAGAGGGTAGTGTCAGCCTGACAGCACAGAACGGTCACTTTCAACAGTAGAGAAGAGGGACTGAGGCCAGCACAGCCTGTGGCTCTGGCTCAGACACCCGTGACCAACGCATGACCCAAGACAGCCACAAAGCTTAGCCTGAACTCCAGCTCGGTCAGCTTTGTGTCTGTGCACAAGTCCTCTAAGCCTCAGTTCTGTCCTGTATTAAAAAAGGGACAACAGACTTTACATTGAATGTGGAGAGAAGCCAATAGGGAAACACATGTTAAGCATTTGGCCCGGTATCTGGCACAAAGTACAGCTCAGTAAATGCCAGCTACTATTACTAGAGGCCATGCAAACGGAATGAAGATTCTTGCTTTTGTTCCGAGACAGGGTCTCACTACATTGCCTAGGCAGTCTTGAACGCCTAGGCTCAAGTGACTGACCAGTCCCTCAGCCTCCCAGGCACTGGGACTACAGGCACCTCCCACCATGTCCAGCTTGGAAGTTTTTGCCCTTCTTTTGGAGCCTGAGCACACATTTTTCTACAGTGTAACAACAATGATTACTTGTTAGCTCTATAAAGTCACTACAAACACTAAAGTAATGAATACTGACCATTATTCCCAGAGAGAGTAGGTTAGGCCCTGTGACCCTGTGGTCATGTTTTCATTAACTGACCAGTAAATAACTTTGTTTTACATATACTTCTGTTTAGACATCTTATTTAACATACATTGATGACTGCTTGAGCTCACAGCCAACAGCACTGTAATTCATGCCTGAAGGAAGATTACGTAACATTTCTTCCAGGTACATCTTAGCTTTCTTGCATTCAGGAACACTAAACAGCGCCTTAGCACCACTCTTGTGACCATTTAAAATAGCAAAAAATACAAAAAATGCAGCACTAACTTCCCACTGATCTGGTAAAAAATTTCCTGCGAGTCCCCCAAGTCACATACCTTCTCCTGCAGGTTAATGTCATTGAAGACTGTCCCTGATTCCACACCCTCAGCAGCAAACCCCGCCTACAGGGGACAGGAAGGCATCAGTTAGTCACAGAAGGAAAGCACAAGGCTGGCATGTGAACTGGCCTGGAAGGCCGCTTCTCTGGAATAACTGCTGAGCTTCCAGGACCTGGTAGCTGGCTTTGGACTACAATGGTTCTTCTAAATCACAGTCCTGGGGCCAGGGAGATGGCTCAGTGGAATAAGTGCTTCCCTGGCAAGCACTAGGGCCTGAGTTCAATCCCCAGTTCCACTAAAATTAGTCAGTCAATCAATCAATCAATCACAGTCCTGGACAAGAAAATGGGAGTGAGGTAAACTCTTCCACTACCCGTGACTTGCTGAGGACCTAGGGTATGTCACTCCTCACTCTGGACCTTAGATTTCTTATTTAGATGAAGACAACATATTATCTCTTCTGCCTTACCTCACAGATCTCTTGTGA